TCTACTCTACTCTACTCTACTCTACTCTACTCTACTCTACTCTACTCTACTCTACTCTATTCTAAAGCTTTGGGAAAAAGCCTTCCGCATCTCTTCCTGATGACATGATGGCCAGTTTATTTCCACCACTGCCACCTGCTAGAAATGGACAGAGGATGTCGCAGATTCAATACAAATTGAGTCCAAAGATGGCTTATGCCTGTGGGGGTCTGCCTTTCCCAGCACAGGGATTTGGTCTTTTTGATCTATTCCCTGCTTCCAGAGGTGTTGAGTGGATCCGTCTGCAGACTGCCATCCGAGTAACTGGATCCAGTGGTAATGCAGTCTGTTGTAAGAGACACCGATGGGTAGCACTGGAGAAGTCCAGAAATGGGAGAGACTGTTTCAGCTCCTGAGATGTTATATGTCTGGGCAGATATATCTTTCGCTTCTCTCGTGTTCTCCTTTGGGAATGACCAGAGAGAAGACACAATGTCTGCAGAAATCCATTCACCTGCTTTCCTCCCGTCGGAAGCACTGGGTGAATTTCTCTAGTTTAACCCCATACTTTGTTTTATTTTATGTTTTTTTTTTTTAAATTCACCCAGCTTGGTGTTTTTTTTTTGATACGGGACCTTCTATCTAAGGGACTGTTTTTGCAATGGCCTTTCTTAAGTGTTTGTAATTTTAGCCCACCGTTTCCCCTCGTACAATATATTTTTTTTAAAAAAAGACGTGTGATTGTGTGCTTGTTCACCAAAGGCACTGCAACGTTTGGAAAGGATTGGGTATATTGGAGCAAAACGATGCAGCTGCTTTGATGAGTCACATTAAAGACGCATTTGCTTTCCCAAATGGACTCATCGAAGCAGCCGCATCATTTCTTCAGAAGCAGCCGCATCATTTCCGCATCATTTCTTCATTTCTTCTTCAGTTTCTTTCATGCAACGACAGCCTAAAAAACAAAACAGGCATGGCTTCTTTCAAAAGCCTCATGCTTCTTTGCCTTCTAAATAATGCCTTCTGAATAATAATTTAAGCATGTACACCTCTTGATTTCTATTATGTTAGGTTTTTTTTTTAATTAAAAAATGGAGGGAGCTGACATGTTACCTCTCTCTGCAGGAAAATCCCTTCAGGCAGAGAATTGTCCATTCTTTCGCAGAAGACCCAGAAGGAAATCTGAGCTTTAATGATTTTGTCGACATGTTTTCTGTACTTAGTGAAATGGCTCCCCGAGAACTAAAAGCAATTTATGCCTTTAAGATTTACGGTAAGAAAAATAACAGGGTGGGAGAACAGCTGGCTGGGGAGTTCTGGGAGTTGAAGTCCACCAACTTAAAGCAGGCTGGCTGGGGA